ATGATTATTTCAGGCTCTCAATTCGAATCAAGAACCGGAAATAATCAACAAATTGTTAAATATCTAATGAAGATCTTATACAAAATTCGAAAATCAGACAATTTTAAATGGATTAAAATAGTAGAAGATTGCTTTGAAACACACTTAACAATGTTTAAAAATAAAATGATTGAGGAACCAATAAATCAGATAGAAAAAACTAAACTGTTTCAGATATAGAAATAATACAGGAAAATGGCTTAGAGTGAAAGTTGTAATGGAACCAAATAACAAAATTAAGAAAAAAATCAAAAATTAACCTAAACAAGCCATTAAAATAATCATAACTTTCCCAAATATTGAAAACCATATAGAAACAAGTGCGAATAAAACAACTAATCGAAGAACAAATCCGAACAAAGTAGAAAAAAATATTTTCAAAAGGATAAAATCAACTAAAAAGTGCAAAAATAGTCCCCTAACACAAACATTAACTTACTTGTCGATTATAAACATCTGATTGATTATTCAAATTGATAGGAGTTTGAATGGGCGGTACACTTTTGCAGCAACTCATTTTTCTTTTACGAAAACCGATCACATCACTAAATTCACAATATTGGATCACAATAATGGGTGTTTTTGGCTATAGTTCAAAAATCGTTTATATAACTTTTACACGTAAAAAAGACTTGATGTTTGGACGCTATCCTTTGGGAAACTATTTCTAGGAGGGGTCGTTAAAATAAAATAGATAAATAATTTATTACAGGGAGAGAGAGAGGAGGGACAAATTTAATGCATTTTGGCAAGCAATCTTATGATGCTTGCGTAATTTGTTTATGCACTGTTTATTTCAAAAGGTTGATGAATGATAATAATTAGTTTTTTAAAGGGGCACCAAATCACTATAGCTTAGAAAAAGTTCACACATACGAAATTTCCGCACTACTTAACTGTCACCGTTCAAATACGCTCGATATAAAATTTTCGCCTCATCTGCCCACTTTAAACCACCTAAAAATATCAAAGTGGACATTTAAAAATAATATTCGGTATAAACACTGTGTGGACCTGGGGATTGAATAACAAAGTGAAAAACAATAATTATAAGTTTGATGCAAAAATCCCTATATTCGATATCCAGATGTTATAAGTTTGCTTGATGAATGTTTAAAAACATTTTCAAGCATCTGTTATAAATAAACCACCTATAGGTTTTTGTCACCTTCAATCTAATATTAAGACACAAGGTCGAAGATAGTTACGAGAAATGAGACACACGGGGCTGGATTTTTATTCGAGTTTCATCATTCTTCATTATTAAGATAATTCAAAATTGTTCCAGGTGATGGTCAAACAATGGCGTTGGATTAAGTACAAACAAGGGAATGATTTTTGGAAAATTCAAAGGTGTTTCTAGACTTCTCCTCATATTATGAGTTTGTTTGTCGATTTATTTTATTTTTCAGCACATTTGTTTCTCCATACATCTTCTCTAACTGGGCACTCGATTTTTTGGATTAGCTCTAAACATGCTTTTTTGTAAATTACTTGGAGATTGTGTAGAACTTTTTGATGGTTTCTAGGTACTGGGATCAGATTTATACTTTTTCCATCAACTCTGAACTGATGCAATGAATAATTGCAATATTGAAAATTGATTAATCGAGTGATTATTCTCGGCTCTTGATCCGAATGAACAACCGGGAATAATCAAAAATTGATTCCATTTTGTGATTCTCTCTATTGACTCAGATTGATCAAAAGATTTTTTCTAATAAACTTTAGGAACTTTTATTAAAAGAACAGTACTACCTATATGAGTTTATTAACTCTTCGTATCAATGAGTGATATTTATATTTTATTTTCTATTTTTTATGTACAGAGTGTAGGTACGATGAAAGCCGATTTCAAAAATTGTATCGACGTTGTTGCCAGACTTACCAATTTGTCTGTAGGCACACAATCTTTTTTTAATGTATATTTTAGTGTTTATATTTTACATTACATATTTTTTACTTATATATTTTAAAAAAATCTACTGTTTTGCCTGTTCATTTTGTCTTGTTTATACGCTACTACGAATACAGTTGGATTCCCCAAACTCCATACACTAAATTATTCTGACATTTGAAGCCGAAATCTATGAAAAAAGGCACTCAGAAAAATTGAAAAATTGATAATTCACCCCAAATTGCTTAACACGATTTTATCTCAGGAACTATAAGTCCAAATGAGTTTAAATTTTCAGGGATTGTAGTTCTCTACTGCGATATAAATCGCTGAAAATTTCAGCTTTCTATCTTTAATAGAAAAAAAGTCATGACCTTTCAAAATTTTCCAAAATCTAAATCATAAGGTAGGAATCTTCTTACTAAATAGATGAAATTTCAATTTTTTTTTTTGTTGAGATTTTGTGTTCTAATGGTCATTTGTGATCCCCCAAACTCCATACACTAAATTATTCTCAGATTTGAAGCCGAAATCCGATTTTATCCCAGGAACTATAAGTCCAAATGAGTTAAACTTTTCAGGGATTGTAGTCCTCTACTGGGATATAATTAATCATAAGGTAGGTACCTTCTTACTAAATGGATGAAATTTCAATTTTTTTTCTATTAAGATGTTATGTCCTAATGATCATTTGGGATCCCCCAAACCCCATGGACTAAATTATTCTCAGATTTGAAGCCAAAATCTATGAAAAAAGGCACTCAGAAAAATTGAAAAATTGATAATTCACCCCAAATTGCTTAACACGATTTTATCTCAGGAACTATAAGTCCAAATGAGTTTAAATTTTCAGGGATTGTAGTTCTCTACTGCGATATAAATCGCTGAAAATTTCAGCTTTCTATCTTTAATAGAAAAAAAGTTATGACCTTCCAAAGTTTTCCAAAATATTAATCATAAGGTAGGTACCTTCTTACTAAATGGATGAAATTTCAATTTTTTTTCTATTAAGATGTTATGTCCTAATGGTCATTTGGGATCCCCCAAACCCCATGGACTAAATTATTCTCAGATTTGAAGCCAAAATCTATGAAAAAAGGCACTCAGAAAAATTGAAAAATTGATAATTCACCCCAAATTGCTTAACACGATTTTATCTCAGGAACTATAAGTCCAAATGAGTTTAAATTTTCAGGGATTGTAGTTCTCTACTGGGATATAAATCGCTGAAAATTTCAGCTTTCTATCTTTAATAGAAAAAAAGTTATGACCTTCCAAAGTTTTCCAAAATCTAAATCATAAGGTAGGTACCTTCTTACTAAATGGATGAAATTTCAATTTTTTTTCTATTAAGATGTTATGTCCTAATGGTCATTTGGGATCCCCCAAACCCCATGGACTAAATTATTCTCAGATTTGAAGCCAAAATCTATGAAAAAAGGCACTCAGAAAAATTGAAAAATTGATAATTCACCCCAAATTGCTTAACACGATTTTATCTCAGGAACTATAAGTCCAAATGAGTTTAAATTTTCAGGGATTGTAGTTCTCTACTGGGATATAAATCGCTGAAAATTTCAGCTTTCTATCTTTAATAGAAAAAAAGTTATGACCTTCCAAAGTTTTCCAAAATCTAAATCATAAGGTAGGTACCTTCTTACTAAATGGATGAAATTTCAATTTTTTTTCTATTAAGATGTTATGTCCTAATGGTCATTTGGGATCCCCCAAACCCCATGGACTAAATTATTCTCGAATTTGAAGCCGAAATCTATCAAAAAAGGCACTCAGAAAAATTGAAAAATTGATAATTCACCCCAAATTGCTTAACACGATTTTATCTCAGGAACTATAAGTCCAAATGAGTTGAAATTTTCAGGGATTGTAGTTTTCTACTGCGATATAAATCGCTGAAAATTTCAGCTTTCTATGTTCAATAGAAAAAAAGATATGACCTTCCAAAGTTTTCCAAAATCTAAATCATAAGGTAAGGTACCTTCTTACTAAATGGATGAAATTTCAAATTTTTTTTCTATTGAGATTTTGTGTCCTAATGGTCATTTGGGATCCCCCAAACCCCATGAACTAAATTATTCTCGAATTTGAAGCCGAAATGTATGAAAAAAGGCACTCAGAGAAATTCAAAAATTGATAATTCACTCCAAATTGCTTAACACGATTTTATCCCAGGAACTATAAGTCCAAATGAGTTAAACTTTTCAGGGATTCTATTAACATAAAATGCAAAAGCCTTTCACCACAATTTCTACATCGATTTCGGAAATCACAGAGGATTTCGACAATTTTTAAGGGATTTCTATAAAGAATTCGGATATTCGACTTTCGACGTCATACCAAAGAATAATCTATTGGGATTTCCAAAGGATTTAAGAAGAATTTTGGATGTGATGTGACTTCGGGATTTCAAAAGGATTTCGGATGCAATTTCGCATATTTTGAGATTTCAAATGGATTTCTATAGATTTCCAGAGGATTTCGAAAGAATATCATGGATAAAAATGTACAGCAATTTCGGGAGTGAGCCGTCCTTCGACTGATTCTAAGGAAAATTCTAAAAAAAAGTCGCTACATCGAAAAAGATTATTCGAGTGACTATTCCCGGCTCTTGATTGGAATCAAGAGCAAGAAATGATCAAATTTTGAACATTGAATAAGATCAATTAACCTATACCTACTCAATTCTGAAGCCATTTTGTATATATGTTCTTTATTAACATAAAACAAATAAAAATCAAGAAGAAAATGGCGGATTTTTACTTACAATTTTCTAAGACTTGCTATACATTGAAAAATTGATTAATTGAGTGATTATTCCCGGCTCTTGGTTCAATCAAAAAAACCGGGAATAAAAATTGAATAATGAATAGGATCATGTAACTGAATCAAATCTACAGTTATTTTATAAGTTCCTAAACACATAAAACAAATTGAAAACCTGATTATTTAAATCATTCTTCCCGGCTTTTGATTCAAATCAAGAGCCGGGAATAATCAAAAATTGAAAATGTGTCATAATAAAGAAGAAAACTTCAAAATTACTTACACTGGCTTCTGAGCTTTCCAATATACACTGAGCGTCTAGAGGAAATAGAGGTCTTTGCGGCGTCGGCCTACTAGCCAGATAAAAAGCTGAAGCTGCGGCTACACCGGTAAGTGCCAACGCCCCCGCACCTCCGCCTATGTATTGAAGGTACTGTTCCATATCCTCTACTGAAAAGAAAAAAAGAGACATACTTTATATATCTAATATTGAGTATATAAAATAAAGCAATATAAGGTCTGGGATTTCAACAAGTTTCGCCGTATTTCTAAGCTTATTCCCTAATTCAAGGTGGATGTTAATAAGCCACCTGAATGAACTCATTTTAAATTCACCTTAACGATAAGATGTCTTAGGAGGTAATTTTTGATTTTAAGGTAACATCGGCCCTAAGAAAATACAAATTTTACTTTAGTTTAAGTGCTGCGCAATGTCTATTGCGCATAATAGAATCAATATTGACATAATAAACTTACTCATATCTATGTTGTTTGAAATTGGCGCCAAGAAAACACAGGTTTAATTTTAAAAAAATGTTGTCTCGAGTTAAAAATAGGCTCGACACTATTATACAAACCAACGTGCAGTGATGAATCCTAACCTGCTAGCTTTCGAATTGAAATCGTTTCAAATTATCAAATTTAAAGTTGTTTACATTGAAAAGACGTACGCTAATTAGGGTTTAATTATATATTTTAAAAATATATACCTCAGTATCAGTATAGTGACGGCAGTTGAAAGTTCATTTTGTTTTGTTTTGTCTCCCCGGTCAATGGAAGATTACACAACTGGAGAATTATTTTGTTTTAGAAAAATAAACCCGCGGATACCGCACTGTATGGTGATTAGCTTGTAGCTTTACTAGTCGTGTGCGGATAGTAGACGCAAAAAAAGTATAGGCAAACTAAAAATAACATTCACCACAGGTTAATAATTGATTTATCGTTATTATTTTGTTTAAAAGGTGGAATTTGTTTAGGAAAATGTGAATTTTTATGCCAAGGCTTGTGGCCTGGAGATTTTAGAAATTTAATTAAGAAAGAAGTTGAGGCCTTATTTTAGAGGTTTTGCCATTTTTTAGTGACCACTCCTGGTATACTTGCAAGGTTGCCAAACATTTGTTAGTTTTTTAGACATTTGGGAAAAGGCTACAAGTTGCTCAGAGGAAAATTATCAACTTTGATGGAAGAAAACTTGTTTTCTAATTCTCTACAAAAAGCCATCTTTGGTTTTCCAAAATTATTTCTGACATTTGAAATATCAGAGTCCAAGCAGCTTTTTAAAAAAAATACAGAATTGCGTTTTCTTTAAATTTTCACTTTGGTACAAAATTTAACTCTCCCAGGGGCGGATACAGGCCTTTTGAAGGGGGAGGGGGGCAGTTTAAGTTAAAGTAAGCCAGATTGGGTCAGTTTGGGTTAGTTTTGGCGGTTACCATGGGCGCAACCTTGTATATATGACAGGTGAGGCGGTATCGGCTGTCAAATATTGAAATTTAGCATCGTCTGTATATGTAACTATGGCATATTTTGATGAAGTAGCTAAGTGTAAGTATCGATTTCTACTGTCGACCAAGGTAAATCGAGAAATGTCAACCATTTTGACATTTCTGTCAAAATCCTGCCAGCACTCATATTTTTTAGTTTTTAATATTTCATGAGATGTCATTTCACATTTGTAATTTATGTAAATTTTGAATTCAAAAATTGAAGAAAAAAAAATTACAGAACTGTCAAAACCTGTGATTTGTTTTAGTAGAAAAAAAATCCAATCTGGTTCTTTTTCGTTTTTTAAGGTAGTTTATTGGTGATAAAACATTGAACAAAGCTTATAGACATCAAATTTTGACAGCTGTCAGAATCTCACAATAGCTTTAATTGATAAGAGACTCAAATCGAGTTAGTTGCAATTATTTAATTCATGATAAAGCATGAAAAAACTTTATACACAGATTCAGATTTTGACAGCTGTCAAAATTTGATGTCTATGAGCATTGTTTAATGTTTCATTACCAATAAACTATCTTAAAACAAAATATAGAACCAAATGGAAACCTTTTCTGCTACTAAAATAAATAACAGCTTTTGACAGAGTTCTGTAATTTCTTTTTTTCAATTTTTGATCTCAGAATTTATATAAATTAGAAATGTCAAATGACACATCATGAGATATTGAAAACTGGAAAATATTAGTGACAGATGTCAAAATGGTTGACATTTTTTGATTTACCTTGATCGACTCAGTACAAAACGATATTTACTTCATCAAAATCAGCCATAGTTACCTTGCTTTTCAAAATTAGATTCCAATATTTGACAGCTGATACCGCTTCACCTGTCATATATACAAGGCTGCGCCTATAAAAAAAATTGGTGCTTACGACATCCACAATAGCATATTTAACTTTCATTTTCGTTTAAAAATTGCGGGGTCCTTTGTAAGATTATGATTATTCACTTTTTGTCGATTTGCCTTTCAACAGGAATTAGTAATGTTACTTTACCAAACTAGTAACATAATGTGACAAATTATTCAAGTACAAATGAGTGAATTGTTGCGGAACTTATGGGTGGACCTCTGCGGGACGAGCGCAGCGAGTTCCGCAGCCATCTATTCATCAATATATGTTGTTTAATTACGATACTAAACTGACTCACTCAAATGTGCGTTATTCTCATTAGTTTAAAAATTACACGTTTTAGATAAATGTCTTACTTGAACAGTTGAACAGTATATTGGTGAGTAGATGGCTGCGGAACTCGCTGCGCTCGTCCCGCAGAGGTCCGCCCATAAATTCCACAACAATTCAGTTATTTGTATTTGAAAAATAACTTATTATATAAAGGCAGAATTTGTAAGATTATCCACTTTTTGTCAATTTGCCTTTTGACAGGAATTAGTAATGGTACTTTACCAAACTAGTAACATAATGTGACAAATTATTCAAGTACAAATGAGTGAATTGTTGCGGAACTTATGGGTGGACCTCTGCGGGACGAGCGCAGCGAGTTCCGCAGCCATCTATTCATCAATATATGTTGTTTAATTACGATACTAAACTGACTCACTCAAATGTGCGTTATTCTCATTAGTTTAAAAATTACACGTTTTAGGTAAATGTCTTACTTGAACAGTTGAACAGTATATTGGTGAGTAGATGGCTGCGGAATTCGCTGCGCTCGTCCCGCAGAGTTCCGCCCATAAATTCCACAACAATTCACTTATTTATATTTGAAAAATAACTTATTATATAAAGGCAGAATTTGTAAGATTATCCACTTTTTGTCAATTTGCCTTTTGACAGGAATTAGTAATGGTACTTTACCAAACTAGTAATATATTGTGACAAGTTATTCAAGTACAAACGGGTGGATTGTTGCGGAACCTATGGGTGGACCCAGCCATCTATTCACTAATATGTTATTCAAGTACAATAGTAACCTGATTCACTCAGTTGTGAATTTTTCTCATTAGTTTAAAAACTACACATTTCAGTTGAGTGTTTTATTTGAACAGTTCAACTGTATATTGGTGAGTAAATGGCTGCGGAACAAGGCAGAATTTGTAAGATTATCCACTTTTTGTCAATTTGCCTTTTGACAGGAATTAATAATGGTACTTTACCAAACTAGTAACATAATGTGACAAATTATTCAAGTACAAATGAGTGAATTGTTGCGGAACTTATGGGTGGACCTCTGCGGGACGAGCGCAGCGAGTTCCGCAGCCATCTATTCATCAATATATGTTGTTTAATTACGATACTAAACTGACTCACTCAAATGTGCGTTATTCTCATTAGTTTAAAAATTACACGTTTTAGATAAATGTCTTACTTGAACAGTTGAACAGTATATTGGTGAGTAGATGGCTGCGGAACTCGCTGCGCTCGTCCCGCAGAGGTCCGCCCATAAATTCCACAACAATTCAGTTATTTGTATTTGAAAAATAACTTATTATATAAAGGCAGAATTTGTAAGATTATCCACTTTTTGTCAATTTGCCTTTTGACAGGAATTAGTAATGGTACTTTACCAAACTAGTAACATAATGTGACAAATTATTCAAGTACAAATGAGTGAATTGTTGCGGAACTTATGGGTGGACCTCTGCGGGACGAGCGCAGCGAGTTCCGCAGCCATCTATTCATCAATATATGTTGTTTAATTACGATACTAAACTGACTCACTCAAATGTGCGTTATTCTCATTAGTTTAAAAATTACACGTTTTAGGTAAATGTCTTACTTGAACAGTTGAACAGTATATTGGTGAGTAGATGGCTGCGGAATTCGCTGCGCTCGTCCCGCAGAGTTCCGCCCATAAATTCCACAACAATTCACTTATTTATATTTGAAAAATAACTTATTATATAAAGGCAGAATTTGTAAGATTATCCACTTTTTGTCAATTTGCCTTTTGACAGGAATTAGTAATGGTACTTTACCAAACTAGTAATATATTGTGACAAGTTATTCAAGTACAAACGGGTGGATTGTTGCGGAACCTATGGGTGGACCCAGCCATCTATTCACTAATATGTTATTCAAGTACAATAGTAACCTGATTCACTCAGTTGTGAATTTTTCTCATTAGTTTAAAAACTACACATTTCAGTTGAGTGTTTTATTTGAACAGTTCAACTGTATATTGGTGAGTAAATGGCTGCGGAACAAGGCAGAATTTGTAAGATTATCCACTTTTTGTCAATTTGCCTTTTGACAGGAATTAATAATGGTACTTTACCAAACTAGTAACATAATGTGACAAATTATTCAAGTACAAATGAGTGAATTGTTGCGGAACTTATGGGTGGACCTCTGCGGGACGAGCGCAGCGAGTTCCGCAGCCATCTATTCATCAATATATGTTGTTTAATTACGATACTAAACTGACTCACTCAAATGTGCGTTATTCTCATTAGTTTAAAAATTACACGTTTTAGATAAATGTCTTACTTGAACAGTTGAACAGTATATTGGTGAGTAGATGGCTGCGGAACTCGCTGCGCTCGTCCCGCAGAGGTCCGCCCATAAATTCCACAACAATTCAGTTATTTGTATTTGAAAAATAACTTATTATATAAAGGCAGAATTTGTAAGATTATCCACTTTTTGTCAATTTGCCTTTTAACAGGAATTAGTAATGGTATAACTTTACCAAACTAGTAA